AGTACAGAGGATTATAGGAGGTGAAACACGCATAGGCAACTTTCTGAAATATTTACCTTAGAAGGCTCTTTTGCTGTCTTTGTAATGATGACATATCCCAATCTTTAACATGGATATCACGTACAGCTTCGAGGATCTTTTGCCGTACACCTACTTGTGTTACTCCTATCTATTTAAAAAAAAATCATAATAAATGAATGGATGAAATGAAGAATACACCAATAATTATGATAACAATAGTGGCAAATTTCTAATGGCTTAACACTTGATAACACTCACTTGATCAAGATCGTGTTCTGTCATTTTTGCAAATCCTTCAAAGGATATTTTATGTTCCTGTGTTAAAGAAAAAATGAAAAAAGATTTTGTGTTTTTCATTTGCGACAAGAGCTAGAACATCAAGTGACTACATTGAATTACAGGAAAAGTGCTATTATAATGGCTATTACAAAAACTACTTTTATTAACCTGAAATTTTGGAACCAAATGTCCAAGCTGTAATCCACAGAGTAATACCTCAAGCTCACCATATCTTTCTAAAGCACTAAACAAAAGAAAGACTGATATAAATTACAGTAACATAATTGTAACATTTTTTCCGTGTAGCATTTTCATGCTGAGGATTTAGTGAAGACAGTGTTCAGGATCAGAAATACTGGCAAGTATATGTTGTGGTTTGAAATATGATACATAATATGATACAAAAAGGAAAATACAAATTTAAGACACAAAAGAGTATACAAATCAGAGAAGATAGCCAACAAACAAACGAACAACAAAGGCAAACAAATAAAAATATGACAAACTACAAGAGAAATTCCAGTACCTGTTGTCTACCACCTTCTCATCTTCATTACTACAATGAAAGAGCAAGGCCAATTTATTAATACACTCATGCCATGTTAATTTAGGAAATATGCCACATTTCTTCTAGTTATCATTAGTTGTACATAGTAGAAATACCTTGACAAAAGCAATTCTGCTCTATTGCCGAGAGTTCCTGCGGCAGCAGCTTCCAATATCCCAGAGATCTATAATTTACAATATGATTGTTGAGGTGTGAGCCACAAAAGTCTTATATGTATATCACATTTGCAAACTAATGTTTTGGTTGCTGTCAATCAAACAGCTAAAGTGAAAACATAAACAACTTCACATAAATTTTATGCTTAGCATAAGGCATTATCTTCTGTTGAAAAGTATTGGATTCTGACACTGAATTCTGCTAAAAAATTGCCATCTTTCATGTCAATAAGATTTTTGATTGACAGCCGCCAAAATGCTTTTTTGCAACCACAAGATTGATATTAGAAAATCATTATTTATTTCACAAATTAGAGACAGATGGATGGACTCAGAGACAAGCCAAAAGATGGACAGACAGATAGAGAGGCAAGTGACAGTGAGGCAGACGGACGGACAGTTTAGTCTACTTACAGTGTGATATCCATTGGCATAAGCAATGTCGCTGGGTGACTGTCCATCTAGTGTGTACAGTTTAGGGTCAGCTTTATGGTCCAGTAGCACTCTGATTAACCTACCGTGACCTCTGCTTGCTGCCCAAGATAATGCCTGTGACACAATGATATCATATTAAAAATAATTTCTCATTCTTTTCACCACAATCAATGTCAATCAATATTCCAGTCAACATGTCAATCATCATGTCAATGCGTATCATTATTCATTCCAGTAAAATTTTCATATCTTGATGTCAGCACAAAATCAATCAATCAATCGATCAATCAATCAATCAATCAATCAATCAATCAATCAATCAATCAATCAATCAATCAATCAACTTTAATTCAAGAAACTTTGATTCAAGTCATAATCATGTATAAGTTTGAAGTCGAAATATTATATTTCATAAACTCTACAACTCTTCATTTTTAATCCAAATCTTGGATTTCTATGATGTTTTTGTCTTTGGACTAYTAATCATTCCACTATACKCCAAAATGTCYATCGACATGGATAWGTTTAGTTGRTGTCTTATTTRMCATTAATTTATTGACTRCATTCCTTTTTCTGGAATTATGTTTATGTCGTCGTGTAAACCAGGCTTTATACTTACAGTCCATCCACGGCCATCAGTCTTGTTGATTTGAGCTCCTTTTTGAAGGAGCCTTTCACAGACCATGACTCTGCCTTGCCTTGCAGCATATATCAATGGTGACATTCTATGCCTGTTCAATAAAAAAAATTGTTCATTAAAAAAAAAGGTTGCAATGATAGTGACAACAATTCCATGACATGGACATCACAGTTTTGAATAATGTAAAAAAAAAAAAAAAAATACAGTTCAAAAGATTCAAAAAGAACAGAATGCAAGGCTTTTGGTTAACTGTTAGGTCCATGTCCAGGGACACTTCCAGGAATTTACAAAAGGGGGCCGCAAAGCCCTGTATCAATCGACTGGAACTAGGGTGTCCAGAGGTTCCAAAATTTTGAAATTGAAATCCTTAGAATTATGATTTCCAGCATTTTGAGGAATTTTGCCAACAATTTTTTCAGTATTTGGAAAAAATCATTTAATATTATCCAGCAAAAGGTAGACTGCTTCCTCCGCACCAAAAAATTATCAATCCCTGATTTTAATTATCAATTAGAGATTTTTAAAGGTATTTTATGGAGATTATGTTGCCATCTACAGTAGTCACCTGTCATAAACACCAGTTTTAGCACCATGTTCAAGAAGTAGTTCAACACAGCGTAAAACCTTTTCTTCTTCAACAGCAGAATCACAGTCACAAACAGCCATTAGCACAGTGAACATTTCTAGGACAAACATAAGAAACGTCAACAAAACAATGATACATAACATGTCAGCATAACATGTACACTGATGATTAAAACATTAGCACAATAATGAATAAAATATTCAGAGTGGGCACCATGTCATGCACTGACAAATAAAAAATCAGCACAAAACTGAGAAATAAACACCTGTAAACCAATGATGAATAAAAAATCAGCCAAGCAATGATAAATAAAACACCAACACAACACTAATAAATTAAACACCAACATAACACTGATAAATAAAACATCAGCACAAAACTGATGAATAAAACATCAGCACAAAACTGAATAAATAAAACATCAGCACAACAATGATGAATAAAACATTAGTGCTGCATCAGCAATAAGTTGTCCTAGATCAATACAAAAATCATTGAAAAGAACTAGATTTGGCTCCATAGTTCACTAAAATAAACTGACCTTTTTGATAGTTAGCATTGGAACCTCTCTTGAGGAGTAGCTCAACAACATCATCTGATGCCTCTCTTGCAGCATGCATGAGGGCTGTCCATCCAGATGGCAGCACATAGTCTATAGGAATCCCTTTTTTCAAATAATACTAATATTACTACGTATACACTACGTATAACTATTATTTATTGCATTTATTGCATAGTCACTTGCAAAAACTGATCTCTAACATCATTATATATTGAGTAATAACATAATAGTTTATTGCATGTCTACACTAGTAGACTTAGAGTGCTCATTTAATTATGATTGTATCTAAAATAATA